TTATAATAAATTTGTTTCAGGAAAAGTGAATGTAATTTTTCTAAAAAAGAGGAGAGAGAAAAAGGTGGGGTTAGGGGCAGACGTATTTGACAGATTAGTTGAACCCGGGGCACTGCAGTCAATGGCTGCGTGTATATTTGTTGACAAACATGTTCCGATTCTATACTTTGAGATCGTTCTCACGCACTGTTCCGGTTTGAGTTTCCCCGCTCCTATTTACAAATCATTGAGTTCCACAGTTATTATTCAAATCAAGTGTGCTGACACTACATGAATTATGAGTACTATTTTTGAATTATCGTGTCAATAAAGTAGCGGTAAGTAGTCACTCAAGTGATGCAACTTCAATAGGAGACTGCCACAGCTTCATTGTCGTCCTCCAGTTTTATACCCTTTTGACTTTTGACTTACAAATGTTTTACATATTTCATATTTCAAAGGATCCAAATTAGAATGCGCATCAAACTGACATAATAATAATATAATAATAATAATGAGATCATGGGAATCAGGAAGGAGTACGATAACTTGGACTATATATAAATTGTGATCCGAAGTCTAAGCTCGTTATAGAAAATGGATGCATTTATCCATTCGAACTATTCACCAAATCCGGACAACAATTTTGGATTTACTTCGTATATAAATTATGTCAGTTATAGAAAATAACATAGTTCATATATAAATTGCATGAGAAATGAATTCTAAAAAAAAATCATGCATTTACTTCGTCAATAAACATTACATTACATATTAATTATGCAATCTAACAAGAAAAATTTAAATAATATTTTGACTTATTTTTTAAGATAAAAAATGTCATCAATCATTAAACACTAAGACTGTTCAAATCGCTTGGAAACTCGATCAACTCAACCTTACTTGAGTCTTTCAAGTTTATTAGGCCGAGCTTCGGGCAAGAGTCAAATCCTACCCAGCTGAACATATCATTTTTTTAAATATCTTTTTGTGAATAAAATTTATTTTATTATAATATTTTTCATTAAACGTTATCATGAATTATGTTATTTTTATGACGTTTTTAGATATTTCTTATCATTATAATTTTTTAATCTCTTTCAATATCTAAAATTTGTATTTAACTTAATATAATGTAAAAATAATTAAAAATTATTGACGATGTGTTATTTAAAAAAATTACTTTTGATTCTAATATGAGTTTTATAAAAAATATATTTTAAATAATAATAATAATATTTTTTAAAATTTTTTTATATAATATTAAAAAAAATACTTGCAAAATTTTTTTCAAGCCAATCCCGACCCACACACTTAGCACTGGGCTGGCTTGAAATGTGTATCGAACTAAGCACCAGGCAAGTGTGATGCCCAACTTGAGTGCTTGACCCTGCCTATCTACAGCCTCATTAGACACTATTCTCCCTGGTCCCTAGCTAGAAAGAGGGCGGAGAGTATTCTAACTTATTTAACCAAGTGATTTTTTTTTTTTTTGGAGGGTAGATCTAATAAGGGTAGGTTTGAGAGAAATAAAATATAAAAATTAAAGGAAAAGATAAACTAAATCAAAAGAATATTTTATTTTTTTAGATATTTAATCATCTAATCAACTGAAAAACCGGGATGTTCCTGAATAATAACCTCATAAGAAGAAATAAAATTGAATGTGAAAAAGGTCAAAAAAATGTATTCCCTGTTTCGATCTTGTGTTTGAGTCACTGAATGTACGTGGGGACCAGGGTCTTCCAATTCGTTGACACCACAGCGAACCAAACGTGGAAGTAATACACAGTACAACGCAAAATTATTACTAAAATAGTTAAAGATTTATCATTTCTGTAATTAATTTGTTTGTGGCGATTTTAAAATAGTTAAAAAATTTTGGGCAAAAATAATAAAAAATTGCAATTGAAAATTTTAATTTAATTGTATTGGCTAAAATTTTAATCTTTTGCAATAAAATTTTTGATGTTTAGCTCTAAATTTATTCCATTGTAGCAGTCTGTATTTTCAAAAGTAGAATCCTTTTAAATTTAATATTATTAATATGAACATTTTAAATTTAAAATTGTTATTTCCCCTTAGTTTGGGGTTTTAGATAATCCAATTTTAGGAAAGTTAGAGCGGCCCATCTATTTATACAAAGTTCCTAATTATGTGTGAAATTTATGACACCATGTTTGATTCTGATAATGCTTCTTGATTTTATAAAATTTCCATGTCACCAACCCAATTTAGTGCGCTACAAATCACGACGCCCGTAATTAGAGAAATTCTTAGATTTGCATGACGTTATTTATATTTCATCTAATAAAAACATCATATTTAAATAATACAAAATATAAATAAATTTTAATATTAATGATAGCAGAGAAAAAAAAGGTAAGAAATTAAATAGGCTAGCCTTATATACTTAATGATAAATTTTTAGATAGATCAAGTGTATCACATTATTTATAGTTTGTCTAATTAAAATGCCTCAAGTTATCTAAATAAAATCTTATATGATATTATTTTAATTGATTGTATTCTTATCACACAATGCACATTTGGTGTGTGTTTGGTTTTTAATTTATTAAAAATTTATTTAGCAAAAGTCATTTTAGTAAAATTCAATTATTGTAATAAAATTTATATTTAAATATATATTTTTAAAATTTAATTTGATAAATTAAAATTTATTTGAATTATGATAGTAAAATATACTCTTAAATATACAATTACTAAAAAGAAAATTGATTTATGATTATTTATAATTTTTATTATACAAATATAATATATTTGAAATATTTAAAAAATATGATGAAGATTTTAAATAACATAAAATTTGATCTATGATGCTAAAAACTTGATATATAATTATTTATACTTTTTTAATTTTTAATTTTAAAAAATGTGATAAAGATTTGTAATATTTATTATACATTATCGCTAAAAATTAACATGATTAATTATTTAATTTATAATACTAAAAACTTGATATTTAATTATTATTATTTAAATATAATTTATTTTTAATGAATTAACTATTTTTTAAATAAAAAAAATAAGAGATTGAACTTGGTATAGTATGATTAAATAACATCCCACTTTTTAAATTTACTTTGTAAACAATATCTGAAAAGGACTTTTTAAATAGACTTCTTAGAAAAAATTAAAAACCAAACAACATTTGGATTTAAAATCCATTTAAAAAATTCTTTTGGAGATCCTAACTGAAAATCAAAGGGGCCCTTAATTTTTTATGTTCTCTTTCTATTGTCATTAATATCAAAATTAATTTATATTTAATATTATTTAAATATTATATTTTTATTAAATAGATTACAAATTACATGGCGCGCTTGGTTTACTTAAGAATTTTTCTATGCATAATATAATTTTCATCCAATTAAATCAAGACATATATATTTTAATATGATAATGATAAGAATTTGTTATATACTAGTTAATTTATAAAAAATTTACATATCTTAATTTAATAAAAAATAAGTACCATAAATATATAAAGTTAAATGGATAAATTTTTCAATAAAAATGAATTTATTAAAAAAAGTAATGGCACATAAAATTTTATTTTATTAAATTGGCATAATTTTAATTCTCTCTCTGTTTTTGTGACACATTCATCTCTTTCACATAGAAACTCGCTCCTTCCAGACTATACAAATCCTCATGATTCAGTGCAGCACCCTGAACCTTGTGATTCCAGTGCATGTACCCAAAACAACAGATGAGGTAGGAAAATATACAGTATATATATAATTTGAAATCTATTAATTTTCAAGGATTATCGTTTTAAAGATTTCATAAGGACATGTCTTAATATCAAACCATGAATTTATTCTTAATCTTAAACATTCAGCCGAAAAAACACATCTTTTCTGGCTATTGGCTATTTTATTTTATTTTATTTTAAAATTGTGTTCCTAGAATACGTTGAGGGATAAAGTGAGATAGAGAATCCAATACAATTCGTTTCATGTCACTCAACTGCCCAACAGCCTTCAAATTTTCTGGAAACTCAAAACATCGCCATTGAAAACTGAAAACTAATCCCCGATCCAAAAAATAAAAGCGATAAACCGATTTTCAGCCGCATCAAAATTATGGGCAACAATTGCTCCCTCTGCAGTTCTATTTATAAGTGATTTTCATCATATTTGACTGAAATAATGAAAAAATTTAAAGTTTATTAATTCTATTTTAAAATTTAATAAGTTTTCTATTTTATGATGTACATCCTTTAATGATATAATAGTTTGTCTTACCAATATTTAATTAATTGAGTGACTTATAAATAACATAAAAAAATTCTTCTTCCTAACCTTATAATTAGGAAAGGTAATTGATTACTAAAAATTGGCCCCGAACAAGAAAAAGATTACTAAAAGTCTAAAATGCTTATCATAAACAAGTAAACTTTTTTTTTGTGATTTTTAAGTTTGAATTAAATTAAAATAGTAGATTCATTCCAATCCAAAAAAAATAAATAGTAGGTTCATTGATCGATGTTATGATGATTTAAGACAAAAGAAATGAGATTAATGAATTGAGAGGGAAAAGCTAAAAAAAAAAACAAAAGATAGTGCACACGATTGAATGAAACTGATGACAAACATAATCACAACTAATGCTAAAAGAAGAAGGAAACAAATTCTGGGGAAGACAGGGAAGCGTACGGCAACACTCAAGACTCGCAAAACTGTTTCACCGTGCCTCCACGGCTCCACCATTGATTTTCACTATATGCCATTCAATTCAAGCCCTCATTGTTTATTTATTTATTTATTTTTTGCCTTCCTCTCGTCCTTTTCCCTTTCCTTTCCTTCCCTTTAATTCCGTATCTATCACTCACCTCACCTCAATCAATTTTTTTTTTTACCCCATTATCTATTCTTTCCCGTGCTCCGTCATCCGGTTAAAGTTTAATTCCCCAAGTTAAAGCCATGATAATGCTAGATTTGATATGATGGTTTAATTTGAAGATACAAAAAAAAAAAAAAATCATTCAATCCACAAAACCAAAACACGCACTTCTTTCATTCCCAAAGTAGTTTGGCCAAAAAACAGAAAAAACAGAACACCAAGGTACATACAACTGAAAATTGATCCAACATTCCCTCGTCACTGTCATCATCAATACCAAAAGCAACCTAACCAGCCACTAAGAATTTACAATACTGCCTTCAAGATCTAACCCTACAGATTTCATTTCTGGATCATCCACTTCTTTTTTTTCTTTCTTGGTGTGATCGGATAATTCATCGATCGTCAGAAACGGAAAACCTTAGCACTCAAATTTTTGTACAACCCAAAAACAGATTACTGATTCCTGGGCAAAGATCTCTTTAATTTGTATCAGCTTTTTTCCTAACAGGGTTCGATCAGAGTCGTCAAAAGCCGAAGCAGCTACCGTGGTGGTGGTGGTGGTGGTGGTGGTGGTGAAGGGACCATTCCCGGTCGATGATGTCCTGGACGGACCTGAACTCCTCGACGTGGCAAGGAATCTTTATGATCCCTTTCTGACTGAACCCGAATTTTTCCTCTGCCTCCTTCATCAGCTGCAAGAAGAGAGGGTGGTTGAAGTAAATCACAGGCACCACGAATCTCTGCAACTCGTCTTCTCCTTCTCGACCCACCATGATGGCCAAGCACCCTTTTGGGATGTCTCTGAACTCGTGCTTCTTCCCGTGGATATGAAAGTTCCTCAGACTCTTCGGTCCGCTACCCATTTCTATCCGTAAAACCAGGGCCAGAGCCGGATGAACAAGAAAGGGGCTCGAACTTTCCGAGCTTTTCCCGAGAAAACAAGTGGAAAATGAGAGTTCGAGATGCAAATCTCAGAGAGCTCGGAACGTTGGTCTCATGACTGATTCAGAGCAAACCAGAAACGCACACCAACCACAATACCCTGTGGATATATAGGACCAGAGGAGAAGAGGAGAGACAAGAAATACAGTGTGATTTTACAAGCTGTGCGTATGAGGGCAGTTTCCTGTCCCAGGAGAGATAGCGATGGATTCTATACCGTTGGATGCTCATTATGATCAAATTGTATATGGCTGAGCTTAAATCTTAATTATCTTATCTCACAATGTAAACATTTTATTAATTAATCAGACCCCTCATTAAAAAATATAAAATATTTTTAACCAAATCTTACCTCTAAAAAATAATTACTACTTTTAAACTAACTCTATCTTTTTATATTTATCCCTATTAACCATCTTACAATAAATATAAAGTCATTATCAATAGGGGCACTTTTAAAAAAAGACAGTGATTACAACTCAAAAGACTAAAAATACCTTACATTTTTAAACATTCAACTCTTTAAAAAATACCTTATATTTTTAAATAGAGAGAGTACAATTTATAAATACCCAAAAATTCTTGAAGTTTTTCCTCATCCAAACTTTTTCCACGATGTAGGAAAAGAAATAGGGTGTGTTTGGATTCAATTAAAAAAATTAATTATTAAAATGTGATGATGTTTAGATAAATTTTTAGAAATTAATTTTTATAAATTGAACATGTTTGGATGATTTTTTGAGAACTAATTTTGAATGTGCAAATAAATAATACAAAGAAAAGGAGCCAAATAGAGTTTTATAAATGGAAGAAATTTTAACTTCTCTAAAATAAAGTTTTTCCAAACCAAATGGAGTTTTATAAAATGAGGGTGTTTGGATAAATTTTTACAAAATCGTAATTTTGATCCCAAAATTGATTCTCAATGAGTATCCACACAAGCCTACAGAAGATAGAAAGATAGAGTTAGAATTAGGTGCACCACATTTATTCTCTCATAGTGTCTATGATGATCGCAAGGGGAGATGGCCTTGTGTGAGTTAATTCCTTCATTTCTATAAATAAGATATCTTTTAAAAGCTTACTATATAAGAAGTGGCAATAATATTTTTGAGTAATTAAATAAGTTTATCCTTGTCTTGAAAAATAAAATAAATCATTAATTGTATATTTTTCTTACCACTATCATGATATTATTATGGGTAAAATTAAAAAATTATTGTGTTTTTATGTGGATTCAATTAAATAATAAACCTTTATTAATATGTGAAATTTGGTTAAAAACACTTTATATATAAGGACGGTACTTATTACTTTCTCCATTTCAAATTATAAAATACTTTTGACAGAGATTTGTTGTCCTAAAATATAAGATACATTAAAAAGATTAAAATTTTATTTAATAGACTTTTTTCAATATTATCATTTTTCTCTCTATTTAATACTCCCTCTGTGCATTTTTGAAAGAGTTTCTTCGTTTTAAAATATAAGATACTTTGAATAGGTTAATTTTATTAAATGCACCAATCTCAATATTATCTTTTTTCTCTATATAATTAATTTTTTTCTTTTCTTTTCAATATATTAAATTATGTATATTTTTAAAAGTTTGTATTTTTATTTTAAAAAGATAAGGTTATTAAGTATATTTAATAAAATTTATTGATATGTGATATTTTATTTAAAAATATCTTATAATTTGGGGCAGAGGGAGTAGTAATTAAGTGTAAATTTAAGATTATTAAATGAAGGGCATTGTTAAAATTTATATTTTTATTTTTTAAAAAATAAAATTATTAAGTGTATTAAATGACGTTTATTAGTATTTAAAATTTTATTTAAAAGTGTCTTATAATTTAAAATAGAAGGAGTAGTTATTAGTTATCACATACGAAAATAGAATGACGGTAATATTTATTACTAAATATTTATTCTTCCTAAATATTACATGAAGATAAATATCTGAAAAAGTAAATTTGTAATCCAATTTATAATTATATGAATCAACATTTAACTATTATTTTTTAAAAGAATTTATAAAAGAGTTAACTGTCATTAAATTTTTTTTTTTTTTATCAATGTTGTCGTTCTGCTTAAAATTAAAATGATGTAGTCGGAGACTTGGGGTGATGGCGAGCAAATCGGGTCAGATGATATGCATCAAAGCCTCAAATGAGGATTTAAGAAAAAGGAAATTTCATTAAAAGCTCCTGGATATGACATAATTTTAATTAAAATCTAAAATATTTTGAAATTTTATTGCAGGCCTAAAAAACTGAAATGAAATAAATTTTTTTAATTGACTAATTAAAATACTCTTCAATTATAATTAATATTATTAAAATAATAAGTCAAATCATAATTTTTACAAGTAATACTAGAATAATAGGTTAAGTTATGGGTTTTACAAATAACATTATTAGAATAACAACTCAATTTATCGTTCTTAGAGGTAATATAATTGAAATAATAAGTTAAATTATAATTTTTAAAAATAATACAAGTAAAATAAAAGGCTCAATTACAGTTTTTACAAGTAACATTGCTATACTAATAAATTAAATTATAATTTTTATAAATAATATTCGTAAAATAACAAGTCATGATTTTTAATCACATTTATTCTAATAATAATATTACCTGTAAAACTCATAACTTGACTTCTTATTCTTATAATATTATTTGTAAAAAGTCATAACTTTATGTGTTATTTTAATAATATTAATTATAATTGAAGTATATTTTGATCATTTCATTAAGAGAATTTATTTTATTTCATCATTTTAGTTTTGCACTAAAAATTTGTTGAGTCTCAATTGAAATTATGAGTCTCAGGGATTATATAAAATTATTTTTATTTTATTATTTTAAGAACTGATATTTTATAAAATATGTTATGAAAATAAAAAATTAAAAAATATATGTTGTTCTCATTCTTTTTTATTTTTTAAAATATTTTTTAAAGATATGTTATTAAACAGATTTTTTTTTATTTTTAAAAATAAAAAAATTTTTAAAATAGATTGTCGAACCCACCCTCAAGTTTTTCAGCTCTGCTCTAGAACTTTTTTTTTTTTTTTTGTTGCCAAGTAGAACGGTTTTAATTAATGCCATATTTTGCCCTCTGGTTTACAGAATCTTAATTCTTTTCCTTTTTTAGGCCAGGAAAATCTAAACGGTTTATGTCAACAGATTCTTTTTTTTTTTTATAAACATTATGTCAACAGATTCTGCATCATTATCTTATTTAACTTATTTAATCAAACCTTTGCCACTTCCGTATAATCTAGAAGCTAGGATTTGGATACAGACATACAGTGATGGACCTAAATTGATTCATGTGTCTCAATTATGCTCTCACGTTAAAAAATATAAAATATATTTAATTAAATTTTATTTTTGATAAAATAATTATTTATTTTCAAACTCTATTTTTTAATATTTAATACTATTAAATACTCCACAATAAATATAAATTCATTATTAACAGAAATACTTTTAAAAAAATATAATAATTACATCTCGAAAGATTAAAAATATTATACATTTTTAACATTTAATTTTTTAAAAAATGTTTTATATTTTTTAATGGAGGGAGTAATTGTTAAATTTTATTAATATCTAAAAATTTTAAAATAGATTATATTTAAAAATTTAAAATAATTCTTATAATTAAAACACTCCCCATGTATTGTTTTCCCCTAAAAAATTAAATTTTTTGAATATTATCTAATAAAATTTTTAAAAATTATTTTATTAAATTAAACAATTATTATCATATTATGATTTCATTTATTAATTGAGTAAATTTAGACTCCTTGCTGAAGGATGAACCATAAACACCAAGACTTTCCAAACCAAGATATTCTATAAATTACTTTTATTATGGCTATGCTTTCATTATTAATATTGAATATTTTTATTTTAATAAAAAAAATCAAATCCAATTCTTGACAAGGAAAAATTTTTCCATATGAAGAGCATGCTTTTTTAGAAATAAATAATATTCTGCTCTGGAGTCTGGAAAAAGGATTCGCTCACGGGTCGTGCGCAAGAGGACAACACCAGTCTCTGACCGTCCGATGGGTTTAGAAAAGAATGTCATCTATGATCTATAATTATGTATGAGAACTTGAGAAGAGGAATGAGTCCCACAGGCGAGTCAAATAGAGCCTTTGTTGTACACGATGCAGGGGATCATGAAATATCAGAAGCGCAGTGACAAATTTGTCCTTTTCATATTGTGTCATTTCATATGCATGTCGTCGGCGTCCACCGCTGATGGGCCCCACCGAAGACTGTTGGGCTACGTGAATCTCCATGGACCCCACAAGCTGCTATCCTGTGCTCGTCCTTTTCCTGCGGGTCCACGTGCTCCTTGGAGGCTTCGACCTTTTTTAAATTTAAAAATAACAAAAATGAAAATCGAAGCATTGGTTTTTTTTTTTTTTTTTCAGTGGTATCACTATCAGTACTATAAATTTTATTATTGAGACTCTGAAATTACGTTAGGTCCATTCTATGAGTACAAAATGGATTGGATGCCATCGAGTTGGAGAGGAGTATTTCTTTTGGGCTTAGAAATTAAATATTAAATCTTTTTCTTAAAATTATGATGGTGCACATTGAAAATATCCACAAATCCTCCACTATGAGGAGGGTGAAGACACACGAAAACATGAGATGTCAACCATCAATAAAGTTAGAATTGATAATTTAAATCTGTTGGGTTCATTGGGGGCTAGCATAAACTTATAAAGAAATTTGAATAATCAAGCCCAACATTAATTTTGACAATGCAGGATGCTAGAGTTGCCAAATTTTTTTAAAAACAAAGTTTAATTTTTATTTTAAAATTAATTATTTTTATATTATAAAAAATTTAAAATATAGTTTTGGGATGATTAAAAAATATAGAAGACTCGTTTTTTTTTTGGAAATGTGGGTCTTAGAGTTTAAAAATCAATATTAAAATATATTTTTTAATATTTTCTTGAAATTTTTTATTGATTAACAATAATAAAACTATAAAACTGTGAACATTTTATTTTTTTAGAAAATATCTATAATAATGTAGTCAAATATATGTTCTCTTAGTATAAAATGAACTAAAATTTGAAAGATTAATCAATATTAAATATTAT